AATCTGCTCTCGCTTAGTTTATAACCCCAGATTGCTGATAAAGAGGAGACGCTCCGCAGCCAGTCCTTGCTCACGAGTCAAACCGGAGAGGTTTAATCTCTGCTCTCCGTTTGGGTTACTGTGGTGCAGAGCAGGGCCAGAACTGAAGCTCCTGGCTGCCTGACCTTCAGGCTCGCCGAACAGCCCGGGGTTGAAAGAATTCCTGCTCTTCTTGGCTAGTTTTTGGATGCAGTCGCGCGCTCTCCCCTGGCTTGCCCAGTTCTGCAGTCGAGGTGCTCTGGAAATTCCCAGGGCTCCCAGTAAAGCTGCAGTTTTTCCCCTCCCCTTCCCCCTCCTCGCAGCTGAGTGTTAACGCTGAAGGGCCCCATTCAATAAAGAATCTGAAGCCTGATTTAATTTTTATTGAATCTGGCTGAAAGCGCGTGCTCCTTACCAAGCCTGGAAAGCCTCCTCTTGAAAGGATTAAATAGTTGCGGTACCTGTTTCTGATAACAGCGCTTTTGATTTGTTTCTAGTACCGAAGCCACTTACGTTAAAGGGGAGGGCATTTTGAAACCCTTCAGATACCATCTCCTCGCGGCTCTGCAGGCAGGGGTTTCATTCATGCTCTGCGCAGTCCTTCCCTCCTGCAGCACGTGCGTGTGCTAAATGCTGCTGCCGAAACCCCGCGGACTGGGGCCCATTGAGGCCCGGAGGCGGGTGTGTTGCTTCCTTGGCGTTTGTCGGCCGAGACCTTGATTTCCTACCCGGTGCGTTCCTCTTCTGCGTCCCGAGACGGCGTTTCCTTCGCTTTCCAAAAGACAAACTGCCAGTCCTCCAGCTCCGTGCCAGCGGGTGACGGCAAACCTGGAAAATCATGGGGCTGCCGTGATGCTCGGGGACGCAGTGCTGCTCTCGTGATGGAGCAAGATGGGTCCGTGTAGGTGAGGGACACCAAAAAGCCACTTTGGTGTTGGTGCCGGTGGGTCTCTGGGCTTCCTGCTGGGAAGGGGAGGCAGAAGGAGAGCTTCTGTCTTGCGGAGGTCCTGAGCAAAAGGTTTGTTCTCCTTCCGTACCGCCGCCGTGTCTCCTTGGCGGTGGCGGAGGACCCTGGCTGCTGCCGACTCCGTCCCTTGGCACAGATCCTGCCGGTGCCTCCGTCGCTGGCTTCGTTTCGTGCTCCGACTCCGATCGGAGCGTGGCGATAACGCTCCCCATCACCTGCGTGCCTGCAGACGGGGCTTTACAGCTTCCTTCCGCTCGCGGGTGCGCGGAGGCAGCCCAGCTCCAAGCCAGTGGTTGCTAGCAGGTAATTTCTTCTCTTTTCCCACGTAGCAGTTCAAAGGGACAGCGGCTGCCGTGGGGCTTTACAGGAAACACACCACGCCGCTCACGTTCGATGGCGGTGCTTTGGCTTGGTTAAATAACTGCCTGGGCAGGGGTACGGCTCGAGCTGAAACCTCATCAGAGCCCAGCAACTCTCTCCTTGGGTACGCTGCTTTTTTTGGTCCGTGCCGGGTTTGCTGGATGTGGCACCTTGAGGTGCAGGTGTCGCCTTTCATATTTTTTAAAACGGGCGCATTTTTACGATGGATTTCCTCACGCAGGTACATCTCACTACCCTTCTGAAGGCCAGAAGAAGACCGCTGCGCGCTCAGGAAGCCTGAACCTCCTTTGTGCGCTCTAGCATCGTTGTGTTTTTCTGCTTGCCAGCAATATTACAGCTGTGTTTGTCTTGGTGTCAGAACACGTGACATGAAACAGCCATGCGTGTGAGGCAGCGCAAGGTTTTTGAGTTCCAAGACGTAATTCGGCGAAATCACTTCAGGTTGCTTATCAGTGATGGTGGCACCAGCTCTCCGACGCTCCGTGTGTGTTGGTTCGGGTGGGTTTTTAAGCAGTAGGTTCAGTTTACGTATCAACGCGGGGCTCGTTTCGTAGGGACGAAGCTGCTTCCCGGTAGGGAAGAACCTGCAGGATGACTTGACCGCGCCGTGGGCGGGGACCACGACCTAGGGATGCTTTTTTAACGTGTCCTTCAGCAAACACTGAAGCGACAGCCGGTTAGAGAGTGCCTGTGTACCCTCCCCGTGCGCCAGCCTTTGTCTGCCGGGTATCTGGACTTCTCCCTCCTCCTCCTCCTCCTCCTCCTCCTCCTCGCTTTCTTTCATCTCCCAAGAGCATGAAGTGGAGGAAGCAGCCGTGGAGGCCCTTTCATGGCTGAGTTAATTGGAGCTCGGCGCTTTCCCAGCAGCCGGATCCAGACCGCAGTGCTGGGTGCGGTGAGGCTTCTCGCTTATCCCATGGTGTCTTAAATAACCCACCGCCACTCACAGCTTCAATTTAACCTGGGGTCACTTCTTAGGGATGGGGGTGGAGAGCAGCATTTCAGGTGTCTTCCTTGGCTTGCCCGTGCTTGCCTTTCTATATTTGGTTGCCGTAGACGTGCATTTTCCTGCAGAGAGACTAGACTGTCGGGTAGAAAGAAGTCTAAGGTGCTCACCCTGAACATGGCAGGCTCTTTGAGATCGGGCTGTGCCGGAGGCTCGGTCGGACTTTTTTTCTGTTGCAGATTTGCATTTGTTTTCTTGCTGCCTGCCGCGACTGCACCCCTTGTCTTAAGAGCAAGGTTTCTCTAGCACGGTTCATACCCTCGAAGTCGTATTGAAGGTGAACTTGTGTGACAGCTGTACTTTGGAAGATGTGTAATTATAGGGGATTTAGAACTGAGCCAGAACAACATTTTCCTGGCAGAAATTTGGCTCGGTGAAGCTTTATCTTGTGAGTGACTTGGAGCCAAGTTTAGGAAGCTCTACCTGAAGCGAGTGTGGAGGAGCAGAGGTGCCCGAGATTCAGATGTTTTGGCCTCGTCTTTCAGCTCGGAGCGCTCAGACCTTATTAACCAGCCCCTGCAAGCCGCTGGCATGCGGAGCGAATAAAGTTACCGGCCTTCTTGAGACGGCCGCATTTTAATTCTGACTTATGCCCTGGTTGTTTGTCATCATCCCCAGCCCTGGTCTGCGTGTCGGTAGGTAAAGACCTCACCGAGCTGGTCTTTCCTTGTTTTCAGGTGGAGCTCCCTTGGCTTTTTTTTGTTGTAGCTAGTTTCTTATCAGCCTGGGAGCAGAGAGATGGGATTGGGATGGGCTCTGCGTCTCCTTCCCCTTTTTTGACTGCATCTGTTTGCCACGGGGCATTTTTGCACCTGGAGGAGAGGCAGGCGGTCGGGCCCTCATCCTTTGAGCGAGAAGGTGCCTCGCATTCCTCGCCGACTAACAGGGCAACTTCGCCCGAGCGTGTAGAAAGAGCAGGAAAAACCGCATGGTAGGGGATTTTCTGTATTTTGGAAGCTTGCTACCACACTTGGCGTGCCGTGGTGTTCATACTGATAGCAGGGGGCTCAAACCGTGGCTCGGGTCCTTTCAAAAAACCAAAAGTCCACGGCACGAAGCCTGCAAACGAAGCCTTGCAAAAACTAAGGCTGGGCACACGCGGTGCGAGAAGGAGCTCGCTGTGTCCCTGGACGACTCGAGCGTTTTCCGGCTCCCCTTTCTAGTAAATCTTGTCAAGTCGCAGCCGGCGGTGTTTGAATGCCGAACGAGGGCTGCTCTCGCCCGTTGGGTGCGTGCAGTTCCTTCTGCTCGGGAAACTCCCTGCCTGGCTGCTTTAGGGTCGGGACAAGAAGCGTGCGGCACCGCTGCCGGCCGGTCACCGCACGCAGGCACGTGGGAGGTCGGTGCTCCCCGAGGGGGGAGGCTGGGCGCGGAGGTCCCCGGGGAGTTAAGCTGGGTCTGCTGCGACCGTTTTCTGTTTGCCGCGATACTGATTGTGTCCTTATATCAACCTCTGTCCTGCAGGATGGACAGAATGACGGAAGATGCCCTGCGCCTGAACCTCTTGAAACGGAGCTTGGACCAAGCAGATGATCGGGATGACGTCCTGGCGAAGAGGTTGAAAATGGAAGGACATGAGGCGATGGAGCGCCTGAAGATGCTGGCACTGCTGAAGAGGAAAGACCTCTCGGGCATCGAGGTGCCCCACGAGCTCCCGGTGAAACAGGATGGTGTGAAAGTCTATGAAGAAAAGCTGAACGGGAGCCTTAGGCCCCATGGGGATGGCAGGACTGCAGGGAGGCCAGGGAAGGAAAACATTAACGATGAGCCGGTGGATATGAGTGCGAGGAGAAGGTAGGTGCCAAACAGCTAGAGTCTGTAGCTTGCCTGTTGTTAATCCTGTGCTCTGCCAGATGTGAGAACCCAAGTCAGAAATTAAATCGACATTGTGCGGGCCTGGGGGAGTCTTGCCGGTGTCTGCGAGGTCCCTTTGGCTGAACGCCGAGGAGCGGAGCCTGCTCTCCCAGTAGAGTTTCTCTGGAAGGCATTCAGCACTATTCTTTCATTGTTTTTGCTTCTGCTGCCCTTCTTGTTCCACCCCAAAACCAGATGGATTTTCTTCCTTCCTCCATCCATACGTTTAGCGATATAAGCTACGACCGTCGGGCAGCTGGTGGAGCAGACCCTGCCGGTGCGTGCGGAGGAGGAGGAGGAGGAGGAGGGCGGGGGGGGCTTCCCCTCCAGCCAGGACTTTTTATTAGCACCTACAAAAGTGGCAGCAGAAGTCCTTTATTTAGCTGGAGGCCAGATCTGATGTAAGTGGTGCGGACGGTCGCTCTCAAACGTGACCCTGGCCAGGCTAGTGCCTCTGCGAGGAAGAAGTAAATGTTTTTTTCCTGCCGAGCCTGAGACTGCTCAGGAGCAGCAGTTGCTTGAGCGATCGAGTGCTGGTGAGCTGCGTCTGTTTTCCAGGGGGAGCTTTGGTGTTCGTCACGCTCTCTGTACGTACAGTGCGCGCACACCTGATTTTTATCGTCGGTGAACTCCAGCAGCTCAATTTCCGCAGCCGACACCTGCAGCCGGGTTCTGCAGGGGGGAGTTGGAGGGTCGCACGTGAGAGCCCGTCCCACGTGCTGCGCACCACCCGTGCATCCCGCCTCTGTTCTTATTTCGGCTTGCTTGGGAGGGGGAAGGAAACAAATGTTAACTGTTTTGATTTTTGGCGTGATTTGGATACCGAGCCAGCGCAGGCTTGGCTAAGGGGCTGAGGAGCAGAACGGAGGAGTCCTGTCCTAAGTAGGTGCAAAGTGCTGAGACCTTCCCGTGATGTTTTGGTCGATGAAAAACTGGACGTGAGCTGGCAACGTGCACTGGCAGCCCCGGAAGCCGAGGCTCCGCGGGGACGTCCCCCCT